AGAGAGCAGATCCTACTTTGCTGGCTATTTTCTTCCTACGTTAGCGCAGCCTGGGGTCTTTGCTCCACCTCCACCCAGAGATAAGGCAATCATCCCTGGTGATGGAAATCCCAAAGGTATTCAACTGTCTCTCTTCCAACTCAGCTCTTACCGGTCTCTCTAATTAAGTCATGAATTTTTTTTTCACATTAATCTTCTATGTTAATGGATTTCAATGTAAACATGGCATGAATGGAAAATGGGTTTTTTTTTCGGTTGTAGTTAAAGTAAGCATTTAAGGCTTTTCTTACAGCATGGGTAGAATTCGAATAATACTATATGTACCAATTAATGTACTAATTAGTGTATCAACTGATAACGTGACATAATTTAAGAGGTTTTTGGTATTTGTAATTAGTGTAATAAGTAATAATATCACAACTAATGTTGGTACACTAGTTAGTACACTAGTTAGTGCATGTAGCACTACTGGTAAAATTCAATTATTTGAAATAAATCCGCTTCAAAAAACAATGAAAGCAAGTAGTGTTGGGCCACTAAGAGCGTTGTGGGAACGTTCAGTCTGAGCACGGATTTTCACTGGGCGTAGAGCTCTTTCACAGGAGGAGTTTACATCAGTAGCTCAACTAGGACGTAGACCTGGCCAAATACAATAACTGAAATTGGTGCTATTAGTCATTAGTTCATAAGTAGCTGAATACAACTGCATTTCTGCATTTTCTTCCTAGGATGAAAATTGGAATTGTCTGAGTTTGGTTGTCCAGATGGCACATGTGCATTATTTTTTTTATTCTTGCTTTCGTATGAATACAATATGGGAGTGATGGTTATGTTCCGTGTTTCATAATAATCAATACTTCGTGGGAACCATGGTTGCGTCTTTCATAATAATCAATACTTGAGGAGGAACATTGTACATAAGTTATATTTTTTTTTGTGGTTTGTATCAATATTTTATGAGCAAAGTGGTTAGCAGGTCTTAATTGTTGGTCTGTATTTTATTTTTTTCTTCTGTAATTGTTTGTCTGTAGCAATATTCAATGAGGAACATGATATTGGCACCTACACCATCAAAACTGTGGATGACCCAAGTACATTGAACAAGATCGTTTACATTAGGCCTCCCAAAAACATCTACTCATTCAACGAGCTGGTTTCACTTTGGGAGAAGAAGATTGGCAAGACACTTGAACGAATTTATATTCCGGAGGAGCAAGTTCTGAAGGAAATCCAAGGTCAGTAACCAAACTTGCACTGAATTATTCATACCCCTAATCGAAATCTGATATAAGCAATTTTATTTTATTTCATTTTTATGTTTTAGTATGTTGGCTAAGTGGTTGACATTTGTTAATTCCATTGTTGCAGAGGCCCCATTTCCAATCAATATACTATTATCAATCAACCACTCGGTTTTTGTGAAGGGATACCAGACCAACTTTGAGATCGAGCCCTCGTTTGGGGTTGAGGCTTCTGAGCTTTACCCGGATGTCAAATACACCACCGTGGAGGAATACCTCTCTCAGTTTGTTTGAGAAATCACAATATTTGCTCTTCGTGGTGTTAAAATAAAAATTACACAGTTATATACTTGGCTTCTCTTGAGAGTGGCTTCTTGTAAGCAAAGTTGAGTACACTATTATATGAAGTTTCTATGGGAATTTGCAGTAATTGTATTACTCTTTTTTCTTGCCTTGTGCTTTATGAGTAGACCAAGCCTCTGTCTCTAGTTCATTCTTCAAGTGAAATGCATGGAAGTAATTTTCTGTTATGATAATAAGCGACTTCTCTTCTAAATTATCAATAAAGATTTTATTTTACCGATAAAAAAAAAAAAATCTAAATTATGCATTCACAAATAATTCTAAAAAAAAAATCAAAATAATACACCACCTATACCAGTAAATAGGCAATCATCACAATAGTATGCAGTAAAAATTCCAACTCCATAAATCAAAACATGCACTCCCACGTAAATTTTAAATTAAAATATTAAGTTACTACTTTCGTAAAAAAGGAAATTTAAAAAATCAGAAAATTTTCCAATAGATAGGAAATGAAATTCTGGTTTCAATGGTAACAACCACGCTCAAGACAATGTCCAAATGAGTCTCGAAGAACAATTTAAAGTAGTTCAGAATAACAAATAAACCAAACACGAAGTGGTCAGCAGCCAAGCGCGTGCGTCAGCACTTACATCAGCACCTGCATCAACGCTTATGTCAGCATCTGCATGTGCATCATTGCTTGCATCAGCGAGGGTCAGTAAATATATATTGTGGGAATATATATTTTCTGAGTACCAACACGTGTCAAGGTGACGCCGACGTGTCAGCCTAGGTGCCACGTGCCCTGGTTATTATGCCGAGGTCATCTCATATAGGCTGAGGTTACCTCCGAAGATATTGGAATTCGAGATAAGCGGATGAGGGGCAAGAGTCCTAGATTGAGAGAAGACTTCAGTTTGTATTAAGATAAGACTCTTAGAGAGTTTATCCTAATCTTACTGGGAGTCCAAGATTAGTAGTAATCCTGAGTCCATAGAAGTAAGGCTTCTATTGAGACTAGGTTTATGTTGGCTATAAAAGAGAGGCACCCCCATGGGTCTAAGGTATGCTTTTGATACTCAAGCTTGTGAGTTTATCACTTGATTTATCTTTGAGAGATATACTGACTTGATCGTCGGAGTGCCCCCGGGTGGACGAACCACCGTCGGAATTTTCTCTTTCTGTTGCAGGTCAGTCAGGTGCCATCTATTCTGCCAGTGCTCTCCAGCTGGTTACTAAGCGGGCAGTGTGGTCAGAGAATCACTCACATAATTTGGCACCGTCTGTGGGAAAGAAAAGAGAATAGATGGCCATCACTGTACAAGATCAACGTATCGGAAACGACGAGTTTAGCAAAGATGGAGAATGTGTTGACATAAACGGAGTGAAGACCCTTCCAGAAGGGACGCAAAGACAAGGTGCATGAGTGCTCCCAAGGAGATGACATTCAAGTATAGAAGAGCTCAGCCCAAGTGAGCAGATCCCAGATTCCAGATCCTGGATCTCGGATCCCAGAAGACAAGATCTCGGCCTAAATAAGTAGGTCCGAGAAGACAAGAGCTCAGCCTAAGTGAGCAGATCCCGGATTCCAGATCCTGGATCCCGGATCCCAGAAGGCATGATCTCGGCCTAGATGAGTAGGTCCGAGAAGACAAGAGCTTAGCCTCAGTGAGCAGATCCCGGATTTCAGATCCTGGATCCCGGATCCCAGAAGGCATGATCTCGGCCTAGATGAGTAGGTCCGAGAAGACAAGAGCTCAACCTGAGAGAGCAGATCCAAGATTCCAGCAGATAAGACCTCGGCACTTAAGCCCGAGAAGAGAAGAGCTTAGTGAGCAGATCTCAGATCCTAGAAGATAAAAAGAAAACATACAATGTCAGACTGCAGTTAGCCAGGTCGAAGACCTTTTATAAGGTCCACAAAAGAGCATGCGAAAGCCATGCAGGGGGCAGAGAGAAGAAGAAAGAAAAATATGTTTAACACTTGTTGAAATTTGTGGACAATTTACAAGTTAAAGTTAAACCGAAATCATTGTTTAACACTTGTTGAAATTTGTGGACAATTTACAAGTTAAGTTAAACCGAAATCATTATTTAACACTTGTTGAAATTTGTGGACAATTTACAAGTTGAAGTTAAACCGAAATCATTGTTTAACACTTGTTGAAATTTGTGGACAATTTACAAGTTGAAGTTAAACTGAGATGATGTTTAACACTTCTTGAAATTTTGTGTGAATTTACAAGTTGAAGTTAAACGGAGATAATATTTAACACTTGTTGAAATTCTGTGTGAATTTACAAGTTGAAGTTAAACCGAGATGATGTTTAACACTTGTTGAAATTTGTGGACAATTTACAAGTTGAAGTTAAACTGAGATGATATTTAACACTTGTTGAAATTCTGTGTGAATTTACAAGTTGAAGTTAAACCGATGTGATATTTAGCACTTGTTGAAATTCTGTGTGAATTAACAAGTTATAGTTAAACTGATGTCGTATCGAAAGGAAGATGGTTTAACACTTGTTGAAATTTTGAGAAAAATTTACAAGCTGAAATTAAGCCGAGGTTATGATAAAGGATGATAGTTAAAACATTTGTTGAAATTTGTGAGAAAAATTTACAAGTTAAAGTCAAGCTCAAGCAATGTCTGCGTACTTGCCGAAACTACCAGGTTGTCAAAACTTGAAATATGGAAAACTGAAGTCTTGATAGAAGACATTGAGAAAGTGACAAGTCCTAAGCGACACTTGTGAAAATATTTGTTACAATATTTCAAGTGATTAGGACAAGGCCGAGATAAGCAAGATTAGAAGTTGTGACAGAGGTTTTTTTACCCGAAGAGATTGCACAGTCAAGGTGTACTTTGAAGACATACAAATTATTCTAAGTGTAGAATCATACAAGAGCAGAAAAAAGAAGACATTCATTCAAAGAAGAAATTAGAGAAATACATTTAAAGAAGAAAGAAGGCACTTCGGCCTGAATATTGAAAAAAAATTTATTTAGACTACAAAAATGGCACGTCGGCCGGATTAAAAGCATACAAAGAAGGACAAAGTACAAGGTACAAGGTACAATGAGTAAAAGAAGGAAACAAAACTACTTGGCATCAATGGCAGGATATAGAAGACAGTTGGGAAGACTTTTCAGCAGCCTTCTCAGCCTCGAGCTCAGCATCCATCTCCCGAAGAGTTTGATCAAAGCTCTTCTCGGCAATTGGCACCTCGGAGTTTGAAGGCAAGGATTGAAAGCAAGAATATGGAAAAAGACACAGAAAACAGAAACAAGAATGTAATTCGTAATCAAGAATGGTGATGAAGCTATCAGGAAATCAAGACAAAAAGATTGCATAGGTGTGTCAAGCCAAGAACAGTGGCAGAAATCAACAGATATGTGAATAGTGTGTATTCAAGAAGATGATTTGGAAACAACGGGTAAAACAGCAATGGTGATTAACAACAAAGCAGAGCTTCTTGGAAAGCAACAAAAAATAAAACCAGGAGGAACAGTGGCTTACCAGAAAGAGGGAAGCCGGAATGAGAATTGCCAAAGTCTGACGACGGATGCGAAAATAACAGAATGACGTAAGCTTCACCGCAGGAGAGGAACGAAAACAGTTGCAGAGCTTGAAAGCTTGGAACAATGACAGATTTAAGCAAAAGAGCTAGAAAGAGGAAAAGTCAAAGGATTGAATGAAAAAAGAGAAAAATCATAGTCAAGAAGACGACAAAGTTCAAGAATAAAGCCACGTGCACAAGCACTAAGTAAGTATGTGAAGAACAAGAAAGTAATGACCCAGACACGATACTAGCAACAGAAAGCGGATATGGCAAGAATAGTGCCAGGCGTTCAAACAATTCAAAACTTGAAAACAGATGAAAATAGAAGACAACAGAGGGCAAGTAAACGGATTCAGAAGAGTTATGAAAGATTGAGCTTAATAAAAGAGTTTATGAACCTACCAAGGGAAATGAACGCCGATATGAAGATCGCCGGAGTCAAATAGATGACTGGAAGTCGGGAACCCACCAAAGAATGTGAGTGGAGCAGTTGCAAAGCTCTTGGAATTTACGAATTAATGGAACAAGAACCTCGGCTAGGAGGTGTGATCTCGAGCAGCTTGGAAAGCATGAAGCTTGATACTTGATAGAAGTGGACAGTAAAAGTCCAGGGAACTTTGAGGTCGGCGAGTTTGATCTCGGACAGAGGGGCATATATGAATGAACAGTGTAGGTTCCATCACCTCAGAATGTCGAGGTAATAGAACCTAGGGGGTAGTTGTGGGGATATATTTTCTGAGTACCAACACGTGGCCAAGGTGACGCCGACGTGTCAGCAGAGGTGCCACGTGTACTGGTTGTTAAACAGAGGTCATCTCGGATAGGCCGAGGTTACCTCTGAAGATATCGAAATCCGTGATAAGCGGATGAGGGGCAAGAGTCCTAGAATGAGAGAAGACTTCAGTTTGTATTAAGATAAGACTCTTAGAGAGTTTATCCTAATCCCAGGCCTATGAGGCTCTCCCATTTCGATGATCTGAACAGTTCAATGTATATAGCTCGTTAAGTACTTCATCCCTTAAAAAAATCATGTTGATCGGATATCGATAGCCTCTTAATCGAAACACGTCTTTTGTCCATAATAAATATGATTTTAAAAATAAATTATTGACAAAAATGTGTTCTGATCAAAGGGATGTCGATATCCGATCAACATGATATTTTGCAGTGATAAAGTGCTCGACGAGCTATACACATTAAACGATTCGGATTAGGGATGCTCGCAGATCGATTTTTGATTGTTCGATTTGCGATTTGGACCCCATATGTCTGCGATTTGGACCCCATATGTCTACAATTTGGGAAAAATTGAACCCGCAACCGCCCACAGTGTGGATTGCGATTTGTGGATGTGAGGATTGCGGTTTGTGCGGATAGAGTTTGCAGATGTGCGGGCGGTTTGCAGATTCGGTTTTTCCTTTAAAATTTTATTTTTGGGCTTGTTTTTTTTCCCATTTTTTAAATATTCTTTTTGGGATTTTCCCTCCATTTTTTAAATATTATTTGGACATAAAATTGCATATTTCTTATCATGAAATCATTATTTTCCAAATGATTTATCCCAAATAAATTACAGCCAATCTATCCAATTTACTTATAGAAGGAAACATACCGTAAGTACAGGTCAGAATCAGTCAATTGACTCACATTCACTTTACAGAAAAAATGTATAAGCTAAACAATGTATACATATGCAGGCAGGTGACTCCGAGCGCGAGTAAAAACCCCGACCCACCTGCAACCCATAAAACAGGAAAATCCTAACTCACATCCAACCCTAACAATTATGCGAAACCGTCCAAATAGGTGCGAGTAGTCGGGTTAGGCGATCTTCGTGGGTCGAATAACCCTATACTCAGCCCTAGTTCAAATCATCGAAATGAGATCCGTTATAGGTCTCACGGGCCAAACAGTATGATCCAGTTCCCATATAATATAAGCAAAAACGTTGTTGGTTCATTGAGCCTCAAAGTTCTAACTCTATCTTCATAAATTTTTAAATTAAAAAATTATAAAAATACACATTTTGAGAATCTATTCGTCATTTGATTAATATGTTATGCATATTTAAACTTAAATCTTATGAAATATTTTATATGGAAATCAAATCAAATTTTTGTGTATGTTTCAAAATATCAAAATCATATAATTTATTGATCAATAAGGTAATATATTCCCTAAAATCATAATGCTTTTTTAAAAAATAATTTATTAAAGATTTATAATATGAAAATACAAATGTTATAAAAAGATAAAATTTAATAATATTATATTATCATATCATGAGCACTTTAGTTATAATAATAGTTCTTTCTTATTTATTATTATCTTCTTTTCATTTAATTTAATATATTTTGTTAATCAACATGGTAAGTTTTTTAATTTTTGAGTTATGGTTGTTTGTTGATGGGAACAGGGAAAGTTTGGTGAAGACGTTTAAGCAGGTGGATGTGGTGATATCAACGGTTGGAGCCATGCAGTTGGCAGATCAGACCAAGATCAAAGCAGCCATTAAAGAAGCTGGAAACATCAAGGTTGGTGTGTCTTTGTATCATAACAATTGTCTTCTTTATTGCCTAATTTTGTCCCCTGCTCATGATTTTATTAAGGAGAATTGACTAGTAAATCCCATTTTGTGGACTTGTAATCCACAAGGTCCTGAATGTTTTCTTAGTAACTGGGTGGTGGGTGGCTCTATTTGCACACCACCTCTCATCTCAAGGCACACCACTATTCAAGGCACACATTTAATAAATTGATAAGTAAGTAATTTGCTCAATATACACCACAGCTTTTCATCTTTACCCTTACTCACACACTCCACTCACAATCTTTCATTTTTACTCTCATTCACTTACTCACACACTCCACCCCCACCCACGATTCATCTCCCCCGCCTTTCACTGATTGATTGTCACCCCACATACCGGTGAGCAAAACCAGTGATGAATATTAACCATTTTCGAACTGGTTCTGTTGTGTGATTTTAAATATTCATATTAGTCCGAACTTTCGAACTGGTTCTGTTGTGGTTAGTAGAGCCACATGGAATAATACCGTTCGGAACTAATATTCATATTAATTTTTTTTTGTTGTGGTTACTTCACTATGGGTAACTAATATATCAGTTCGGAATATTGACCACTTTCGAACTGGTTCTATTGCGGTTAATATTCATATTAAATAATACTTTTCGACTCTAGACTTTTAAACCTTAACAATTTATTCGGATTATTTCTTTCGAACCTTACTCACTTGTCTGGAATGTTTCTTTCGAACATTAACCATTTGTTCGATATTTTAGTGTCGAACTCGATTACAAAAGGTGTGTATTATAACCCTTTGTCCTTTGTGGTCATTTTATATAAGGTTAATATTGTAATAAAAAATAAATTAATTAATGGTTTGCCTTGAGATGAAATATGGTGCGCAAATAGAGGCATCCCTGGGTGGTCCCTTAATTTGTTTGTTGACAGTTTTGCCATTGCTAGTATTATTGATTGACATTTGGTGTGAGTTTGTTTGGGATAAGGTGAATGGGTGTTTGTATGTCACGCTGATCGAAAAAGCATACTAATACTGTTTTTAATTTAGTAAGTGTGTAACACTCAAAACATGATACGTGGGTTGTGACGTGAACACAAGTAATTTGACACATTTTTTTTTTTTTTTGTGACGTGGATTGTTTCACGTTTCGGCTTTCCATTAGTTTGACCCTTTGTTTTCCAATTGCCACTTGTGACGTTTTGACGTGAACCTCACCGATTCCACCGATTCTGGTTCTCAATCTCACCGATTCACAGTTATGATTCTCAATCTCAATCTCAGTTCTGGTTCCACAATTCTGGTTCCACACTAGTTTCACCAATAATCGAAACGATCTGCCGGATTCCTTCATCGTCGTCTTGTACTCTGATTTCGATCTGCCCGAAATCAGAACCAAAATCAGAAACGAATTCAGTACTGTTCACGTGGATCTGGTGCCCATTGTTCACGTCGATCTTGTGTCCATTGTTCACGACGATGCCCATTGTTCACGTCGATCTTGTGCCCATTTCTACTTGGATTTTTCAAAACCCGAAATCAGAACCAAAATCAGAACCGAAATTAGTACTGTTCACGTCGATCTTGTGCCCATTGTTCACGTCGATCTGGGGTTTCTCGATCGAACTCGAACTGATTCAGAGATTGCCTCCTCCTCCTCACAATCACCAAGTGAAAAACGGATCCCTGTGTTTTTCTTTTAAGCACTGTTGGTGTACAACACCTTGGTCTTTCCTTGAACGATGGCTTCCTTAACCATTTCCAAGTCCCTCAGATCCACAAACGTCGTCGTTATGTTGCAAGCGCGTGGGAAGAAATGGGTGAGAAGTGCGTGGGTCCCACCGTATAGTGTTCGAGAAGCCACCACGTGTCCGCCGCTGCTGCAGAGTTGCAACAGCACCGACGATACGGGGGACATACCACTGGAGGTGCAGTAGGCGGCTTCGGTGCCCTCCAGAGCCGCCATCTGGCGTGCAAGGTTGAGAACTGTCGGATTGAAGTGGCGGCTGTAGATGAAGAAGTCGCGATCTGGGCCGAGTTCGCCGAAGAACATACACCACATGGTCTCCGACTCCATCACGGTGAATGTGGCTGAGGTTCGACCAATGGAATACACTATCACACCTACACCCACCCCCACCAAACGTGGGATTACATTTAAAAAAATGAAAACATAACAGCTCATAATTGATGTGAGGGCATACTTGTCCCCCACATAACAATGTAATTCAAAAAAGGAGTTATTAGTAAGATATCTCTACTATCATGGACTGCCCAATCAAACAAAATATTCGTGGGACCAAATGGAATACAATTTCGCCATATGGGACTTTCTGATAAATTCCCCTTTTATTAATTAAAAAAAAAATTAATTCAGTGTTTATTTTTGGAAAAAATGGAAGAATCCCTCCAGCTCAAAATCTAAACTTAAAGGTGCTATTTAGGTTTTGTTTCGATGATTCGAACTGTTCATTTTGTCGGGTATTTTATGTATTCTATCCACACAAAAAATTAAGTTGATTTGATAATTGTAATTTGTTCAATTTACTACATTTTTCACTAAAAAAATAGACGATAATTGCGTTTTTAAAAAATAAACATACATTTTTTTGTGACAAACATAATAAATTGACCAAGTTATAGTCATCGGATCAACCTAATTTTTTTTTGTGGATGAAATACACAGAGTACCTAATAAAATGAATGGTTTGAATCATCGAAATGAGATCCGTGATGAGCTCCACAAGCCCAAACAACGCCCTCTAATGTAGATTTTGGACTAGAGAAAATCTACCTCAAAATTTTTTTAAATAAGTGATTAATTTTATACATATTAATAATTAAAGTTATAATTTTTTTTTTTTATGAATATGTAACAATTTTTAGATAATACCACTGACAAATTTTTCCTATTAAAAAAAAAAGGTAAATGGATTTGGCTTTAATATAAATACTTATATAATACCTAGAAAATTATAATGATCCATGTTTAGAGTTTGTCTGTTTATCTCCTGATTAAGTAAAATGACTGTAGGAGCCGGATTTTAAAGGAGGCATACTTTAACAGACAGGTATTGCCCGGCTCTATCCAGAACCATCAGGATGCTGAATATAAAGGGTAGATGGGCCGAATAGGTACTGAGCTATGGAGCCGAGTAAATATGAACATAATGAGCGAAAAGTGGACCTGGCCCGAAGATCGGTTTATTACAAAATATGCCGAATAGGAGGTTGGATTTGGAACTAATCCCGAGGCCCAAAGAAGAAAAGATATAAATAGAAGAGACATCAGCCAGAAAGAGGTATGTGATAATTGTGGTGTTTAACTTAGAATACAAGTAATCTAGAACAAGAGACTGACTTGTCCGTCGGAGTGCTAATTCCGACACCCCAGACTGGAGTGTTTACTTCCTTTCAGGTGCCTATCGGTGGATCACGAGCGTCCCCCAGGATCAGAAGAGTATTTCCAAAAACCACTTCCCTACAATTGGCGCCGTCTGTGGGAATACTCAAGCACATCCATGGCGGACGCGACGGAGGACCCTCCAATAGTCGCTGATGACACAACACAGATAGACGACTTCACTCCAACAAACACGCATGGACCGGAGCCTAACCCAGTAAGACGCGCTTTGAACTTCAGTTCATCTTCGACTCCACAACATGAGACAATGCAGGCGATCGTGGAGCAGGCAAAGAAGAACGAGCAGCGGTTGGAGAACATGATCGCTAAGAACGAGCGTCTCCATCAGGATTTGGCACTGGAGGTGGCAAAGTCCAAACAAGCCGTGCGCTAAGACCCGGAGCGACCTCTGAAAGCAGGTGGTCGACGACCTCGAGCCCGGCTACAAGACACTGATAGCGACTCCGACTCACTATCTCCGGAGCCCAAAAAGAAAGGACGACCTACAACTTTCAGCTCTTCTGAAGAGAGCCCACGCGTAAGGCATAAGCGCAGAAGAAACAGCTCAGATGACAAGGACCAGCACAATCCTTTTGTGCGATGGATCGCAAGGGCAATCTTGCCCAAAAAGTTTAAAGCTCCGTTATTTACTCTCTATGATGGCAAGTCAGACCCTACTGATCATATCCGCCACTACAAGCAAGCCATGACATTGCATGCAGATGACGAAGCCCTCATGTGCCGAATATTCCCCAACAGTTTGGGACCATTGGCTGTCAGGTGGTATTATAAACTGGAGCCGGCTTCGATCAAAACCTTCCACCAATTACAGAAGTCTTTCAGGGCCAGATTCATCACAAATGAGGTCCAGCCGAAACAAGCCGACTCTCTATGGGCAATACAAATCCTGCCAGGAGAGATTCTAAGAGCATATTCGGCACGATATTGGGAATGCTTTAATCTTGTAGATGATGCTTGCAATGACTCCATGGCCATCACCGCCTTCAAAATGGGACTACACCCAGATAGTGCCCTCCGCAGTTCCTTGACCAGAAGACCCCCTAAAACAGTCTGGGGGTTGATGAAGAAAGTAGAAGAATACTGCAAAGTAGAAGATGACGCTTTGTGAGTTAAAGCCAGACATAGTACCACCAAAACGGCCCCCCTTGAGATTGCCCAGCCAATAAGTTTCGTACCTCCTCAGAGCCATGAACCATGCCAGCGGACTAAACGAGATAATAAACGAGATTCTCGCCGACCAAGTGATCAGTGCCCACACCAAACAAATGAGCAACTGCAAGTTGATAACAGGCGCACAAAGCGCGCCGACAAGAAATATACGGAGCTGTCAGATTCAATCAGCACGGTTATGTCCCAAATCCAACATCTTTCATTTTTTAAATAGCCATCCAAAATGGTGGGACCTCCCGACACGAGAAGACGGGACTGACAGTGTGAATATCACAAAGATCACGGTCATGATACGGACAACTGCTATGCTCTGAAAGACCACCTTGAGGAATTGGTGCAAGATAGTCGACTTCAGCAACACGTACGAAAGAACGCAATCAAAACTGTTGCCTTTCG